ATGACCCGACTGTCCACAATTGTGACAAGTGCGGACAAATTTTGGAATGGAAGCCATGACTAGATCGAGCCTGTCAGATATATGTGAAGCCACTCAGCAATAGTACAATTGTTATACCGGTTACTTCGTGCGTAGAAGTTGTTGTAAGATGTACAACAAATTCAAAAATGGCATAATCATAGATGACAATTAACGAACTTAAGCAGAGTCAAGACAATGATAAGGCAAGACATGACAACGACAGGGTAAGACATCGAAAGGAAGGGGAAGAAGGGGGAAGACGTATGGTGGACAAGATAGACATGGCTAAAAACAAATAAAAAAATAAAAATAAAAAATATATTTTTCTAAATTAATTTTTATTTAAAATTTGGTAAAGAATTTAAGGTGTAGGGCCTAACCCCGTTAGACTTTCGAGCCTGTGTCCACCCCACTGCGGGTCTCAATTGGCCCGGCCTGCCCATGCTCATGCTCAGGGCGCGGGCCGTTCGTCACGGGGCCACCCCCACCTAGTGCTTTGAGATGGATGGGGGTGGGCCATTGAGCGAGAGAGCTTTGACATTGGGGATGTAGTTGAACCCTCACGCCGGATGGTAGTCTCGCTGAACTTCTAGCAAGCGTAATTTTTCTGATTCTCGGTTGTGTTCGCAAGCAATTGCTCCTTCCAATACTCATGCAGTCCAGGGGTTCTTTGAGATCTTCTCTTCTTTCGTGCGTAGGCTAAGTGTGATCCTTAGGCCACACACCATTTCCCTAAAGGAACAGTCTTGTGGCATCATCGAGGCGCGGCAGTGCCATCTTCCCCTTTCGCCCCTACGCTCCTTCATGCTCCAATCATTACATCCGTCGTCATTGGTGCAGGCCCCCTTAGTCTTTCTGGGGCCTTCACCCCCATACAAAGCTACTTCACGTTTCCATCAACCAAGACTTCATTCCCCACCCGACCCACACTCAAGGCTTCAAACATCAAGGCTTCATTCACAGATAGACTTTACACTAAGGCCCATAGCCATTTGCTTATCCATTCCTGTTTCCTTTGTCGGCACATCCCTGACTCACAACCCGCTCAAGTCGCCCCAAAGCTACTCACCTGCACAATCAGCACAAAGCAAAGCCCGATACAATCCCCATTGGGGTCAACACATAGCCCTTCCCACGCGCTTATCTTTTTTTTTCCTTTGCTCGTCGCTTATTTCCCATTCCTTTTACCATGCTCAGCCAATCCATCATTTTCTCATAGTTATGCAGTCCAAGTTCTGGTTGAGTGAACTGACCTCTTCTCTTACTCAACAATCTCCTCCTCTAGTCCCCATTGGACTACTCCGATTTCCAATTTCCCAACGTTTTTGCGCTCACCGCTCTCAAATATTCTCTCCCTATTCCTTCTTGGCGGCGAAAGGGACCGACAGTCCTTCCCTTGCCCTCTTTCTCCACCAAAGGAGGTTAACTTCCTTTCATCATTCGCCCCCTAGCAATGTAACAGGTGACAGGGGAGAGGCTAATTGTATGCCAAGCGGGAAGGGAAAAAGGTTTAGACTTATATTATGGGAGACGTAGAGGAAAGAAAGCCAAAGGACGAAATAGAGGAACAAGAGAGAGAGAGAGAGAGAGAGAGAGAGAGAGAGAGAGAGAGAGAGAGAGAGAGAGAGAGAGAGAGAGAGAGAGAGAGAGAGAGAGAGAGAGAGAGAGAGAGAGAGAGAGAGAAAGTCCCTAATCCTAATCAAGCCTTACCCTTACTTGACCTACCGTCCCCGGTTCAAGATCTGACCCGGCACATCACCAACTGAAGGAAGAACTGAACTACACAACTTGGACTACAGCATCCACCTGTGTGAAGCTATGGAAGCAACCAGAAAGAACCGGCACATCACCAAATGAAGGAACAACTGAACTGCACAACTTAGACTAGAGCATACACATGTGTGAAGCTAGGGAAGCAGCTAGGAAGAACGAACACATCACCAAGTAAAGGAAGAAAAGAACCGCACAACTTAGACTAGAGTATACACATGTGTGACGCTAAGGAAACAACTAGGGAGAACCGACACATCACCAAGTGAAGGAAGAACAAAACTGCGAAACTTAAAACAGAGCATGGACATGTGTGAAGCTATGGAAGCAACTAGGAAGAATCGACACAACACCAAGCGAAGGAAGAACTGAACGACACAACTTAGACTACAGCATACACATGTGTGAAGCTATGGAAGCAGCTAGAAAGAACCGACACCTCACCAAGTGAAGGGAGAACTGAACGGCACAACTTCGACCAGGGCATGCGTGAAGCTAGGGAAGCAACTAAGAAGAACCTGCACATCACCAAGTGAAGGAAAAAACGAATTGCACAACTTAGACTAGAGGATACACATGTGTGAAGCTAGGGAAGCAACTAGGAGGAACCGTCACATCACCAAGTGAAGGAAGAACTTAACTACACAACATATACTAGAGCATGTACATGTGTGAAGTTATGTAAGCAGTTAGAAAGAATCGGCACATCACCAAGTGAAGGTAGAACAAAACTGCACAGCTTAGACTAGAGCATGCACATATGTGAAGCTATGAAAGCAACTAGGAAGAACCGGCCCTTCACCAAGTGAAGGAAGGACTGAACTGCACAACTTAGACTAGAGCATGCACATGTGTGAAGCTATGGAAGCAACTAGGAAGAACCGACACATCACCAAGTGAAGGAAGAACAGAACTGCACAACGTAGACTACAACATGCACATGTGTGAAGCTAAGGAAGCAAATAGGAAGAGTCGGTACATCACCAAGTGAAGGAAGAATTGAACTTCTCAACTTAGACTAGAGCATACACATATGTGAAGCTGTGGAAGCAACCAGAAAGAACCGGCACATCACCAAGTGAAGGAAGAATTGAACTGCACAACTTAGACTAGAGCATGCACATGTGTGCAGCTATGGAAGCTACTAAAAAGAACCGGCACTTCACTAAGTGAAGGATGAACTGAACGATATAACTTAGATTAGCGCATACACATATGTGAAGCTAGGAAAGCAACTAGAAAGAACCGACACATCACCAAGTGAAGGAAGAACTCAAGTGCACAACTTGGACTAGAGCATGCACATGTGTGAAGCTAGGGAAGCAACTAAGAAGAACCTGCACGTCACCAAGTGAAGGAAAAAACGAACTGCACAACATAGAATAGAGGATACACATGTGTGAAGCTAGGGAAGCAACTAGGAGGAACCGTCACATCACGAAGTTACACAACTTATATTAGAGCATGCACATGTGTGAAGCTATGGAAGCAACTAGAAAGAATCGGCACATCACCAAGTGAAGGAAGTATCGAACTGCATAACTTAGATTAGAGCATGCACATATGTGAAGCTATGAAAACAACTACAAAGAACCGACACATCACCAAGTGAAGGAAAAACAGCACTGCACAACTTAGACTAGAGCATACACATGTGTGAAGCTATGGAGGCAGCTAGGAAGAACCGACAAATCACTAAGTGAAGGAAGAAGTGAACTACACAACTTAGACGACAACATGCACATGTGTGAAGCCAGGAGAGCAACTAAGAGGAACCTGCACATCACCAAGTGAAGGAATAACTGAACTGCACAACTTAAACTAGAGCATACACATGTGTAAAGCTATGGAAGTAGCTAGGAAGAACCGGCAGATCACTACGTGAAGGAAAAATTGAACTGCACAACTTAGACTACAACATGCACATGTGTGAAGCTAGGAGAGCAACTAGGAGGAACTGCCACATCACCAAGTGAAGGAAGAACTGAACTGCACAACTTAGACTAGAGCATGCACATGTGTGAAGCTATGGAAGCAACTAGGAAGAACCGGCATGCACATGTGTGAAGCTATGGAAGCAACTAGGAAGAACCGACACATCACCAAGTGAAGGAAGGCCTGAACTGCACAACTTAGACTAGCACATTAGTGAACCTATGGAAGCAACTAGGAAGAAT